AAGGGTTAGAGCCTTAACAATGGTGTCTTTTGGTTTCACTGGAGGGTAGTTGATTCTCCTTAAGATCTGTATAGATGGGGTCCTTACTGATGTTGCTATAGGAGGGGGGGTGGTTAGCTACCATTGGATGTGATGAAATTATGGGAAGAGAGTCACCAGAACTTCACTTGGCACCTCATTAGGCTAAGTAGCCGTCTCTGCTTTGTTGAAGCCTGTCAGACTACCATAGTGCCATTCATTGATGCAAAAAGGCTTTAATATAGGCAATGACATCTGGTCAAGGACATCTAACACTGTCCTAAAGGCATAAGTTGCTCTCTTGCAGACTACAGGAAAGAAGATAGCAAATTCATAGCCAGTATCTCTCAGAGATAAACCACTGTGCTTAGCTTTCTGGTTCCCGGTGCTCAAGTCCAGGGTATATCAACTTCTGAAGGTTTCAGCTCTCTCACTGATCATCGGTATGAGATAAGTGGCCATGGCAGGGCTCTGGTTCTAGAATATGAGCTCTGGGATATTATAAGAGTTCAATGAAGGTTGGCAAGTCTTGCCGGGTTTTCTTCTTAGAAGCAAGAGCAACTACAACTATTTTCCAAGTTTTTTATTTGGGGAATATAGAAAAAAGGGGTGAACCAATAACCATCCCTCAAGGACTTTCTGTACCATTGCTATGGATCTAGGGCTTTGACAAGGGGCTCTGTTTCAAAGTGTGTAGCCCTCAGATTTTTCCGCCTTGCAACATAACTGATGGATAAGGGGAATTTCTGTCTTTCCTTGTGCTAGGATTTTGGTATTCCCTACTGTCCTGAGTCTGTAGTAAGATAGGGTAGGAGAAGAGCTCAGAATTTAGAAATAAACACATGTATATGAAAAGGTGCTTATTTTTTAATTTGTAGGGGGCAAGATCAAGAAAGATCAGAGACTCCTGGTTTAAATGATAGATCTAGATTTGTTTTGATCAATTGTACAGAATTCAGTTGTTTAGACATCTGCTTTAAATGAAAAGACTAATAGAAAATAATTTAATGACCAAGTGCAGGGTGTGAGATCTTCAGGGAATAGTCATATACCTGATGTCCTTGGACAGAAACTTCCCTTTTTACAATTTTTCTCTCAAGATGAGGAGGTGAGATTTTTTTATCTAAGTCTCCCAGGAATGGGGCCACAATGCTTTGGAGAGTATCATAGTGAGTCATATACCCAGGGTTCAGGCCCTGGGTATAAGGCAGGAACAAATATCTCTGTCTCAGACTCCTAAGCTGTTTCTTATTAGACAGAAAGACGGATATGCCCAGCATGACTTATACTATGGCTGCTTGAATTTTTACCTTTTTATTCCACTCCTATGTTTAAATTTACAACATTTGAAAATAGAAGAAAACTTGGAGACAAACTGGTCCCATATTTTTTTTTTAATTTAACTTAATCTTTTCCAATGAACATTCATTTTTCAACATTTTTTTTCCCAAAATACATGTATTTTCTCTTTCCTCCCCCACTTCCATTAGGGAATAAAAAGAGAGAAGAAAAATAAAACTTGTATAACAAATATACATAGCCAAGTACAACAAATTCCCTCATTGACCAAGTCCAAAAAATAAATGTCTCATTCTACATTTTGAGTCCAGTCTCCTGTCAGTCAGGAAGTAAGTAGCATGCTTTACCACTAGTCCTGTGGATTCATGGTTGGTCTCTGAATTGATCAGAGTTTTTAAGTCTTTCCACTTTATTTGTCTTTACAATATGGTTATTATTGTGTAGAGTGTTCTCCTGGTCCTATTCACTTCACTCAGTAGCAGCTCATACACACATATGTAGTATCTACATATAGTACACAGTAGGAGTTGAATGGGGCAGCAAGGTGGTGCACTGGATAGAGCACCAGCCTGCAGTCAGGAATACCTGAGTTCAAATGTGTCCTCAAACACTTACTAGCTGTGTGACCCTGGGCAAGTCACTAACCTTGTTGGCTTTGGTTTCCTCCTCTGTAAAATGAGTTGGAGAAGGAAATGGCAAACCACTCCAGTATTGTTGCCAAGAAAACCCCAAATGGGGTCATGAAGAGTTGGACTGAAAAAAGACTGTCACAAAGAGACAGACACTGAAACAAAGAACAACAGCAAGGAGTCGAATACATTATTGATTGATTTATTATGACAACAGTTTTTGGGTGCCACATTTGGAAAACAAAATGTAAAATATCCAAAGAAGGGCATCCTGTATTCCAAACCCTCTTGTCTTTTCTCTTTACCATCTCTCTAGTCACATAGGATCCATCATCATCTCCACGCAGATGATGCCTAAATTTATACATGCAGCACTCACCCTTCACTTAAGCTCCAGACACAACAATAACTGCTTTCTGGATATCTTCCTCTAGATGTCCCATAGATATGTCAAACATAGCAAGCAAAAATAGAATTTATTTCTCACCTTAAACTCACCCCTCCTCTTATTTTCCTTATTTCTCCAAAAGGGCAGAAAATCTTCAGGGATTTCATCGGACTTTGAAGCACACTAAGTCTCTTGTTGTGAAATGTATAACCTTTGATTCTTCTTGTTATTTAGTGGAAAGAGCACTGGTCTTGAATCATAAGACCATAGATTTAGTCCATAAGAGAAAATAGAGATCATCTTGTCCATTCCTTTTAAGGAGCCAAAAGGACTAGTTTAAGATCTTGCTCTGCTACCAAAGTGACTTTCCTTAAAGTCCAGATCAGACTGGGACATCCCCTCACTAAATATACTCCAGTGGTCCCTTACCACCTCCAATATCAAATACAAAATCCTCTATGTAATATCCAAAGTCCTTCATAGCCTAGTCCCTTGCTCCTACCTTTTAGTCTTCTTATTTCCTCATCATGAATTCTTTCATCATTACTCTGGCCTCCCAGCTGTTCCATCAATAAGACACTCAATCTCTAAGCTCTGGGAAGTTCCTCTAGCTGTCCTGGAATTTTCTCCTTCCTCCACTTGGAATACTGACCTTCTTGGCTTCCTATGTCTTAAATAAAATCCTACCTTCTACAAGAAGTTTTCCCCAACTCCTCTTAATTCCAGGGCCTTCATTCTGTAAATTATTTTCTATTTATCCTGCATACAGCTTGTTTGTACATATCTGTTTACTGGTTATCTCTCCCATTAGACTATGAGCTCCTTGAAGGCTGAAATTGTCTTTTGCATCTTTTTGTATCCCCAGCACTTAGTATATAGTAGATGCTTAGGTATATAGTAGACATTTAACAAATGCTTATTAACTGAATAGGGCTGATTGGTCAATTATTATCTATGTGGCCTCTAAGCAAATCATTTATTTTTTTCCAAAGAATCACTTTCCTTATCTATAAAACAGAGATAGTAGTTTTCACTGCCTAACTGACAGGGATATTGTGAGTAAATTGCTTTGCAAATCTTAAAGTGTTATAGAGATGTTATTGTCATTTTACTTATAATAAAACTTAATTTGGTTACATTCAATATATATTATTATATATGTATATATATATATATTGCACATATATAGACATATATGTATATATGTACACACACATATGTATGTATACACATTTCTTGTGTTCTTTATATTTTGCCTTGTGCTCTGGGAGGGAGTATAAACAAAGAAAAGAGTAAAAGTTCTCCAAAATTTTCCTGGAGCTTTTCATGTCATGAAAGTCTTTGAGTAAGTTACATGGAAGCTCACACACATACACATAAATACACACATATACACCCCTCTACTTTATGTGACATTTAAAAAGTTTTAAGAGACACAATTTCTGGGTAATTTAATTATTTTATCAATAATGACAAGATTTTAATAAAAGATGGTCATTTAACCATCTCTCTCTTAGACCAAAGACAATCATGACAGAAGGCTTAAGGCTTACATGACCATTGGAAGAGAAGTGTTACCAAGGGTGGCAATCAACTCTGATTGGTTAACAATTAATGAGAGAATGAATATTATAATGATAGGATGAACCTGTTCAAATGAACTTTGATTATTTCATTTACTTCTAAGTTACTCCCAGGCTAGGGTAATCTATTCAAAGAATTTATCCCCACCCAAACTTGAGTAGAGCAAAATGACTTCCCCCTATGGGTGAGGTCTGAACAAGAAAGTTAGTCCAATCTATTATCAATAATATCCTTCCAGAGACAAATTTTGAAATCAAGACTTTAGAAAAAGGGGAGAACTCTGGATCTCCTCAAATAATTGGTTATTAATAATCATTTCTCTCAGTTAGATGCCATCAAGTGATAATTTGAAGAGCCTCAAGGAAAGTGTATTCCATACTGCTCCATATAATAAAATAGTTCCCCTTTTTTCCTACCTATGATGCCTGAAAATTCCAACACAGAAATTTCATTAGGTTATTTTTTTTCCTTTTCTTATATTCATTTTTAAAATAAAACTACTCCAGAGGAAAGTCACACAATCAATGGCTAATACTTCAGTGTGCTATAATCAACTAGAGTTTGGAATTGTGATAACTCTAAAATGTAGCCAATGAAAGAAGAAAAAACAACCAAAACAGGAGATGAAGCTAATAACAATTTCACCTATTATACTTTATTTGGTAAAAGATCAAGCCCATACAACCTTCAAGTTCTCATACTCGGCCTCCTCATCTTCAGACACGAAGCACTCCTTAAAGCAGTCACACCTTTATCTCCCTCCACATCACTCTTCCCGTTATCAAATCACATCGTATTAATGTCCAAAGGTTACTGGGTTAATTCCCCAATGCCAGCTTACATACATTCCAACATTCCAGTAGAAATCAGAAGTTTCTGTCTTTTGGGAAGTGATCACAAGGTAAGGATAGATTTCCAAGCGATAGAGATAGTCAACCAAGATTAGGGCAATCACTTAGGTGTTAAAAAAAGGTGGACGTATTTGTATGATGGCACAATTTCCAGATTCCCAGATCCTTGCTGTACATTCCCTCACCTTTTCAAAAGGCATAGCATAAAACAAAAACAAAAAGAATAACAGGTTATACTGCAGGCTTCAGAGCAAATACCTTACTCCCTTTTGGGTGTTTCATTCCAATAGTAACTGTCCAAGATGATTTTGTTAAGACACCTTTATTACTTAGCATTTTAATCAGAGCATTCTTCATGTCCTTATTTCTCAGGGTGAAAATTAGGGAGCTCAGGAATGGTGTGATAAGAGTGTAGGGAACAGCCATGAGCATGTCATCCCTCTCTGTAGTCTCTGGCTTCAAGTAGACAATGGAGGCAAAGCCAAAGTGGATGATGACCACAGTGAGGTGGGAGGCACAGGTGGAGAAGGCCTTCTTCTTCCCCTCAGTTGAGGGGGTCTTGAGGACGGTAGAGGGAATGAACACATATGTAAGAAAGATGAATAGGAATGTCCCCAGTAAACCCAATACTGAGATTATTGTGACAATACCCTCTATGACATCACCATTCTGGCAGGATAACTTGACTACTGCTCTCATGTGGCAGAGGAAGTGTTTTATAAGGTTGGGACCACAGAATGAGCCTGAAAAGATCAAGGTGGTCTGCACTAAGGAGACAAAGAAACCACCAGTCCAAGCTAAGGCCACAAGAGAGCCACATGTTGAGCTGTTCATGAGAATGGGTAGAGAAGTGGGTTGCAGATGGCCAGGAACTGGTCATAACCCATCACTGTGAGAATGATGCAGTTGGTACCACCAAGACTATGGAAAAAAAAATCTGGAGTCCACATTCCAGGACAGAAATGGCCCTGCTCTTGGTTAGCAGGTCTACCAGCATTTTAGGAACAATGGCTAATGTGTAACAAGTCTCAGAGAAAGAAAGAGCACTGAGGAAGAGGTACACAGATGTATGGAGGGCTTGGTCTAGCAAGGTGAGAGTCATGATGGCCGGGTTGCCAGTAAGGGTGAGAATGTAAAGAAAGAAGAAGAAAACAAAGAGAGCAACCTGCCAGTCTGGGTAGACAGAGAAACCAACAAATACAAATTCTTCTAGGAGCGTCTGGTTTTCTCTCATTGCTCTGAGGTGTAGAAAGTTAAAAGAAACAATTAGATAGTCTCAGATTCAGTCAACTTTCTTTTTACCAACATTCTCATAGAAGGTAACTAAAATGCTAATAATCGAATATACATTTTCTTTTCATTTTAAAAAACAATGTATACAATTTGGGAACCAATTTTCAGGCCATTTATTTTTTTTACTCAGGTCAATATAAAAAAAGAATTTCTTCTGGGTGCCACTGAACTATATAGTTTTGACTGATGTTAGGAGTTGGAGGAAGAGTCCAAAACCATCCTAGGGGTTGGAGGAAGCAAGCTCTGGGATTCAACACTAGGTATTGAACCTTCCCTATCACACATGCTCCAAATCATTATTAGTCTGTATGGAGGTAAAAAAAGCCAAGGGCAGAGTCTCATACAATCACAATTCATCAATCAATCATACAACTAATCAACATACTTTAAGTGCATACTCTGTGCCAGACAGGATGCTAAGCTCTGGGGATTCAAATACATATAAAAATAGTCCCTGTTATCAAAGGGTTTGGACTCAATGGCTTCTAAGGTCCCTTATGGCTATGATCCTATGATCATTGGTTCTGTAAGATTTCAGAATCAGACAATAACTCTGTGTACTTCTTTTCTTTATACGTGTAGAGAGGAGGACATACAATAAAGCTTCACATAGGAGAAAGATTTGTTCTGAGCCTAGCCAGAAGGTGGGATTTTAAAAAGGTAGTGATTATAGAATCAGGGAAATTCCAGACAGAGGACAAAGTGAGCAAAGTTGAAAGAAGTAGAACAGTGTAGACTATAGTTGAGGTATCCCACTTTGGCTAGAGTTTGGCTAGGATATGGATAGGAGAGTAGAAGGAAAGAAGATTGTCTAGGTAAATGAGAAGCCTTGTGGAAGGTCTCTAATTTCAGGTTAAGGATTTTAAATGTTAGTTTGTGGGTCAGAGGATTTTTAAGCCATGAGTGACATCATCAGAGTTGTTATTTAGAAAGGTAACTCTCAACAATGGGAGGATAGACTAGAAAATTGAGAGATTAAAGGTAGGATTAGGCTATTGCAATAGGATAGATGAGATGTAATGAGCATCTGAACTAAAGGGAAGTCAACGAGAGTGGAAATGGGGGAAATGTGTAAGAACTATTGAGGAAATAAAAGTAATAGGACTTCACAAGTTGTTTGATTTAGAATATGGGTGATATGGGATGAACCAAATATGTTTTCAAGGTTATGATAATGAGAAACTGGAACAATTGTATTGCTATTAAATGATAAAAAAAAAAAGAATTCCAGTGGAAGAGTGTGTGTGAAGAAAGTCAATGACCTTGGTTACAAGTTTAAGGTGCTGTTGGGATATCCAAGAGTAAACTTCATCAGGCAATTGGAAATGTGGGAATGAAGATTAGAAAAGAGGACAGGGATGGAGATATGATTTGGGGAGACATCTGCATAGAAGAGATAATTGGATCCCTGACACTAGTTGAGATGATCAAAGGAGGGGAAGGAGAGAAGAGGAGAGGAGGAAGAAGAGAAAAGAAGAAAAGGAAAGGGAGCATGGAACCTAGGATCAGATCTAAACTTTGGATGCAAGAAGATGAATAATAATAGTTTTAAGGTGTACTGTGCACTTTTCTTTCATTATCTAATTTGATCTTCACAAGGGACTTGGGAGGTAATTACTCACAGTGTTGTTATCCCAATTTTAAAGTCAGGAAATGACCCTCAGAGAGGTTAAGTGATGTGTCCATGGTCACATGACTAATGAGGGTCAGAAGCAGTATTCCACCTTAAGCATTGTTTTCACTAAGCCACCCACAAGCAAGATAAAGGTTAAAGAGAGAGAGAAAAACAGACAAAGACAAAAACAGAGATAGAGAAAGACAGAGAGATCAGAAAAGCAGAGAAAAAGGACAGAATGGTATCATAGAAACAAAGGAAGAAGAAGGGTCAGTAAGTTGAAGGTGGTGTGTGCTGTCTAGTCCTTCAGAGGCCAAGGAAGATGAGGGCTGAAAAAAAGCCTTTTGTACTTGGAGACCAGGGTATCTTAGGATACCTCTGAGGGAGCAGTTTCAGTAGAGTGGTGGGAACAGAAGTCAAAATGCAAGTTTTAGTACTGAGTGGGTGATGAGGAAATGGAGACACTGAAGCCAAATTATACTTTAAAAAAGCTTGTCAGTGAAAGGCATGAGAAACAGAGAGGCCTGACTCCTTTCTGCCCTTTTAATTGCCCTAGGAGACAGGAGGGTTGAGGGTACATTTAGAGACTAAAGTAAAGGAGGTCTAGGCCTTTCTGCAAGAAGAGGGCATGGAGCCAGGAGAAAGAATAAAGCTGCAGAGAGTGGCTATGTGAAGGAAGAAAATTCTGAAGAAGGCTAGAGAAGGAGGAATTATGGGAATAGCGGAAGGATTAGCCTAGAGGCAATGTGTTAATAATGAAAGAAGGGTTAGTCTGGGAGTTAAAAGAGCCTAATCCTGACTATTATTTCCTAGACCAGTGACCCATGGCTATTTCCTGACCATCAATTTCTTCACCTAGAAAATGGGGATAGCATTGTTACCTCAAGATCACTAGAAGGAAAGTGCCTTATGTACTTCCTTGAGCTTGCCATAAAATAATTACTTTTTTCTTTTTGAGGAAGAGGAGGGAATCCACCACTTTCAACATAGCCAACTGTTTTTCATAGGGCAGTTGAATTCTATGCCTCCATCAAAGTCCTCAGTATGTTATTCAAAAATCAATCAATCAACAATCATTTAAGTCCCTATGCCAGTCATTGTACTAGATAACATCCAGGTATGCTTCCAATCTTTGCTGGGGTAAAAAGGATAAAATGAAACACTTTTATTCTCAGTCTTTCAGACCTTAACTATTTTAATTATTGGCAGTAGGGAAGAGGCATAAGATCAACCAAGGGTACATAATATATGAATTATTTCTGTTGGATGTGGAATGTAGCCCTAGGTGGTAGACAGTTGGGTAGCAATAGTCTTACCTTTCAAATTACATTTCATCCAATCCAATATGAAACTTTCCCTGGGAATTCTTATACTGGAAGCTCTGGCTCACAACTTAGTACATAAATGCAGGAAAATAATCTAAGATACAAATGTTCTGTGAATAATCCAGCAAGCATATAAGGTAGACCTGAAAAGAGAAGACAACTGTGTTGACAGGGAAAAAAAAGACCCATTGACCTTCTATCTATGCTCTGAACTGGTAAATGTTGAGCCATCAGCTCTCCAAGGGGAAAGCACACAGGACAAACTTTTAAATTTAATTTGCATTATTCACATTTTCTCCATCACTTTCTTAATTCTAGACAATTGACACAACAACATCAAACCCTCATTTATAACATTTGTACATTTCCAATCTGAAAATCCTCCCACTGAAAATTTAACAATGGCTCTCAAGAATTTATATGAGCTGGCTGCAGTATACCACTCACTTAAAAGGTTATTCTAATAATGGGAAGGAAGGGAATAAGCATTTACGTAGAACTTACTGTGTGCCTACTACTATGTGCAGTAGCTATTATTTCCCCCACTTTACAGCTGAGAAAACTGAGGTAACAGGTTAAGTGACTTACCCAGGATCACTTAGTAATTATCTAAGGCCACATTTGAACCCAGGTCCTCTGGATTCCAGACCTAGTATTCTTTCCACTGTACCGTCATTGCCCCCATTTATTCCCAGTTAGGCAGAAGACGCAGACACCATCTGTTTTTCCTCTACATGATCTACAGGAAAAAGCAGTGGATTTGGAGTCAAGTGACCTGAGTTCAATTTCTTCCACTTAATAACTATGTGATATTGAATAAATCACTTCACTTCTTGGGCTTCATCTGCAAAATGAAGGGATTGGACTAGATAGTTTCTAAGATCCTTTCCTGCTGACATCCTATGATTCTATCTAACCTTTTTCATGGGTGATTTCCTCCCCTCATTTTGAAGAATTCTACTCACAAAGAATGAATGCTCCAACTTTTTCCCTTTAATTCTGATGAATTAAGGAAGGCTCTAACTGATCTTCCCAGGTTTTTCTCTTTTCTTGGGCATTTCCCCACCATACAGAGCACCATATGCCACGTAAATGTTTCCTCAATCCTGCAAGAGTCTCCATTCAGATTGCCCAGATTGCTTTCAAAGGGGCTATAAACTGATCACAGGAAGAAATGAGGTCTAGTTATGATAAGCTTTCAATAAAGCCAACATAAACACTCTATAAAACTGCTTTGCAGCAAATAGGGAGAACCCAACATTCCTATGCTAGCAAAGAAACACGAGCTGGGGATTCCCAGTGCCAAGTGGGAGCCACATCCAGAGTAACCAAGTGACATAACTCACAGGAACGTGCTGAAGACCATGTCTAGGAGCCATTAAATTTGTCTTAACTTTGGGTTTTAAGGGATCTGAAAGAAGAGTATTAAAGTATCAGTGACAGAGACTCTGGGAAAAGGACACAGTCATTAAAGCAGCTTGATGTGATACAAAGAACATGAGATTTAAGTCAGACCACCAACATTCAAATCCCTCCTTGGTTAATTACTGCCTGTATGACCTTAACAATTCATTTTACCTCTGGGTCTTAGCTTCTTCAATTGAGGAGGCTGGAATCAATAATCTTTAAACTCCTTTCCACCTCTAATTTCTATGGCACTATGATCTCTCACTTATTCACCTGATTTATGGATTATCCTCAAGAAAGAGTGATTCTCAAACCAGCTCTTTTCTGATTGTTCTCATATTCCTAGGGGAGCCTCTCCCATGGCATGGTGTTTATACCACAGATCTGAAGTTAGAAAGATTTTTGTTCAACTCTTGTCTTTGATTCTCACTAGCTCTCCTACCCCAAGAAACCTCTTAACCACACTTGAGTCTCCAATTCTTCCTACGTAACACAAGGATAGATAGCATCTACCTCTCGTGATTATGGTGAAGATCATAGCAAATTAAGCATGCTATGTGCTTTGCAAACCTTAAAGCAAACAAATGTCAGCTG